GGGTTGGGGCGAGGACCTTGATTCCTCCGCTCAGCCTGAACCCTCCGGGCTGGCACCAAGCATTAGCCTTCGCTAAGCATGAAAGCCTGTGAGTGATCGCTGTTCCCGCACCCTGCTTCTCATCCTCACTCTTCCCTGTGCTGATCCTCCTCTGTCGACCTCTCTACTGACTGCGGAGCCTGAGCAGCCCACGCCGCGGAACTTACCCAACGCTCTGAGAAGGTCCCCTCCGCCAAGAATTGACCTAGGCTGGGAAAAGCCTTCGCCTTCGTTCTCTCCCACGTCTCTATTTTATCGATTTGCTCCTGAAAAGGGGCTGTGCATTCTTATATCATCTACAGCCAATTAATATTGCATTAATTCTATTTTAAAAAAAACAAAAGTACCAGAATACTACACCCTATCAAAGCCATCTATTATTCACGGAAATGTAATTGGAGACCTAAGATATGTGTGTTACGGGGCAATGGAGGAAAACAGAGTCGTGACAATATTTCAGAAAGGAAGGGGATCCGAGGGTATCTAATATTTAATTTCAAGTCTGTGGTTTTCTAATTCGAGATTAAAAGCAGTCACGTCTTTGAAGCCAGACAGTTGGTATAAATGTACAGTTAAAATATTCTATTCCACGGTCCCCAGACAGAGCTCTCTACTCGTCCCAGGCTTCATTAAATTTTTATTATCATCCCAGACTAGAGCAGGGAATGAGCGGAAAGACTGTCCATCTAATTGCAATTGATAAAAAAAAAATGCTCTTAGATAGCCCCCCCTCATTTTAATACATTAACAGCAGTTTTCTTCCTATAGCCAGGCTTTCTCAGCCCTGTGATACACACAATCACATTATCACACAGATACATTTTCTACTTTCCAACAGGCACCAGGATTCGCCCTCTCCTCTGCCCTTTGGAAGGCCTGGGGGGAGGGGGTTGGTGGGAGTGGAGGAAGAGAGGGTAGAGGAGGCAGGCTTCAGAAGGTGATGCTATATGAGAAAAAAAAAAGTGACATCAGTTCTGGAAGCATCTGGTGAAAGATCAACAAGAGACAACATTTGCACTAAACTGGATCTTCCCATGGCAAGATGAAAGCATATTGTTACCCAAACAAAACAAACAGATTATTAGACCAGGCTGCACTTTTCGACAGCCTTTCCACTGTGTGTGATGAAAGCAAAGAGCAATATTTTCATTTTATTTCTTTCTTACTGACTGCTGCCTCCCCCTATCGCAGAGAGAAAAAAAGAAAGAAAGAGGGAGAATGCTAAAAACGTTTGTTCTTTTTCAGCCTCCTTCTTGTGCTGCTAATCTGACTGTCACACCAGTCGACTGTAGATTCCTGTTCCTGTGCGTTCCGGGAGCTGGTCTCAACAAGGGTGCTTTAAATTTTCCTGAAACTGGTATAAATAAAGCTTTTCATCTTCAGGCATTGAAAGTACAGAATAAAACCCACAGTTTGCTTTCGGAGCAGCTTCCTATTATCACATCGCCACTTAATTTTATTTCTATTCTCTCCAAGTTAAATAGAAAGACTGGCTCACAGGGGAGCTGCCATGTGCCTACAGACTGGGGATGTCAAGCAGAGAGACTCACTGTGCAAAGTTAATTTCAATTCCCGCGGAGGATTTCACATTCCGGCTGGCTCTGACCCACAGTAATTAGCTGAGATAACTAATGATTACTTACTTATTCCTTGTAATTATCTGGATTTAATAATTCGCTGTGTAATTTATTAATTCCCTCATAATAGACTTTCAGTACTGGGAATGGCTCCTTAAAAGGGACAAAGCAGGGGAAATTTAGCAATATTTTTCTCATTGCCATAAATTTGTCTCCTGACAGATGTGGACTTCCAGGAACACCAAAAAAACTACCTGGAAACCTTTGTCTTCTTTTTTATCCTATCAGCATCCCAATCCAACTTTCCCCCTTGTTTTGAAGCTTCTCTCTTCCAAGCCAACTAAAATGGAAAATGAAATTTTGAGTTCTAATATTGCATCATTTACCTAGAGAAACGAGATTGTGTTGCCCAAATAATCACAAAGACAAATTTCTAAACTCATTGTTACTGATCGCCTAGAAAATTTGAGATTCACCCTCTGAAGAATGTGCTTTATCAAACCAAGTGAATTTTTTCAATGACTTTTCCATCATCTCCTTAAAATCTTACCCAATAGATCAAAATAAACTGATTTACTTTAAGTTTGAAGTAAAGTATTAAATCCCCCAAATTCCAATTTTCTTAGCAAAGAGATCTCTGGGTCTGTCCTAAATAGTGAAAAGACTTAGTTATGCATCATTAATTTTTAAAATGCATTTTATAGAAGATAGGCAAGTATTATGCTGTATGTAAATCTTAATCTTCTTTCATTTTCTTTTTCATACTTGCATTATTTTTGCTCAACTTAATGACTCAATGAAACCTAACTGGATAAAGAATTGACCAAGTAGGATCAAATAGTCAACAGAAATTGCATTTTTCTGAATAATATTATAGTTTGGTGTAAAGAGAGCTTAGGTTACAACCAGGGCTTACATGATATTTCCTGTTAAAGTGACTTTTTCCATTTCAGTTTGGTTTCAGATGATCATGTTGAACAAAAAGATTGGATCATTTGCTTTTAAAGAAAAAAATTAAATAAACTACATGGTTCTGAATCATGGAATTTAGGATGACTAGGTGTGCTGGTAAGTCAATTCATAATAGATCTCTTTCAGGTAAAATAGTAATTGTGGACCTTGGGGGGAAAAAAGGAAGTGAGTCATGAAAGCCAATAGATTTGATTGATATGACAAGGATTTTCAGACATATTTTAATATTTATTTATTTAAATATTTTGAAGGTCAACACCAAATGGCTATTTGTCAAGAATTTGAACATAGCTCATCTTATTCTTACCTTAACTTTCTTCTTTAAGACTGACTATTTTCTTTACAAATCCCTTTTATTTGGTTTGTCCCTTCGATTCTAATTAATAAAAACTTTCACAATGTATTTCTTTTTAAAATTCCCCTTTCCCATAGATTATATATTTAAGCAGGCTCTAAGAATGGAAACATTTTCATCTTGTAGGCAAAAGAAGGTGAGGTTTCTTGTAATACTTGTAATAACAGAGAAGATTAATGTAAATGTAACACAGTTTTTAAAATCCAGAAACACAAGAGACAAAGAACACTTGGTCAATTAGGGGAAATATAGGTCTTTACTATCCACTGTAAAGAGCAAATAGACAGTAGTTGTTATGTAACTTCCTCACAAAAAAACTTGGCCATGCAGGCATATATACAAGTTATCAGGTACTTTCCAAAGTACCAAAAAGAATAAACATACATTCTATCTCTGTCCAGTATATTTTCAACTTTTAATACTTTTAAAAGATTTATCTTTTCACTAAAAGATGCCATGTTTGAATACATAAAACACTAGCACACCTGTCTTCTCTCCAACTAACTCCCCTTTCTCTTAATGCACATAACCTAGCTCCTCCAATAAAAACCTACATATGGGAAGGTATTTTTATTGAACATCATTTTTATCTTGGATCAGCAAGTCTGATCTGTTATACTTTTGAGTTATTTTACTCACTTTCTCCACTGGGAGAAATGCTCACAGAAAGTTCTTTAGTTGGTTAGAACTACTGGAGCAGGACTGAGATCTGTGGTCACTAGCCATGGTGCTGAAATCAGTTCTCAGCAAATTGAGACTAGAGGCTGGCTATTTAAAATTATTTTCAGGAGAGTTGAATGTAAGAATAGAGTGGAAATGGAAGTAGTAATTTTCAGTCTCCAGAACACAGGAATAAAATTAAACCATCAGTATTACTATACATGAATTCACAATTCTAGTATTTTAATCCTTAGGCATCTATGTAATGCATCCATTATTTCAAAATAGACACTTGAATTTTGTTCTTCAGGTGTCCTCCTTATTTCAGTTATGGAAAAAAGGGTCTCTCCATCCATTCTCCATCCAACTTTCATAACTGTTAACATTTAATCCCAACTTGAGGCACTATAAGGATTTTCATTAAGTTATAGACTCTTTCCAAAATTCACTTCAAAACAAGAAACATCCCAAGACAGTTTCATATCAGAAGGGTCATACTTCAGATTATCAGTGTTAATCCTGCAGGATGCTCTCATTTCTTCCTTTTGTTTGGTTTATAGATTAGCATAATGTTTTAATACTAATTAATAGTATGAGCTATTAATAAAATAAATTTCCAAACCATTGCCTTCCTGGAAAAAAATAAACTCTAAAAACTTAATATATCACTCAATCCTTGAAGGGAATCCGAAAATTATTAAAATCGGTGGGAAGATATCTTTAAACTAAGCTCAAAAAAAAAAAAAGAGTCTCAATCAAATGGGCAGAATTTCCTTGTGCCAGTGTTGAATCAGTGTTAGATTTCCATTAACTCTAGTGTCAGACAGTCACAGAAAGGGGTAAAAATTTGCTCTAACAACCCAGGGGCTGCTTGCTAAGGCTTGAGTCATTGCTCTCCAGAAGTGGTGACTGAACTGAGAATTATGGTGGGTCAACCCCTGGGCCTCAATCACAGTGCCCTACTCTCCCAAATAGTCCTTGGCACTTGCCACACCCAATCTCCCAGTGCTGCTGAAAGTGAACTAAGTCCCTTTCTTCCTTGTTACCCATGGGAGAATAGAGGGAATGTTGAAATTGTTTCCATCCAATATCTCTGCTTTCCATCCAATATCTCTTCACAGAATCATTGCAGGTCTGGAAAAAGGACCCCAAGGGAGATATTTGGAGCCAAATATCACAATTTCATCTGAGCAAAAAAGCAAAGTACCCTGCAAGACGAGCTTTGGCTATTAAAAGGCTGTTATAAATTCCGTTCTTTCATAATTTTCAAAAGAATCATCCCCTATTAAATCTAAGCCATACTTTGATAACAATCACTCCCAATAAACCATCAAAATGTGCTTCTGTAAAAATCTCCCACCAAAACAATTCCCACATAAATGATTAAAACAGCATCACATTTTAAAAGCCATTTAATATTAATAGCATATTTTAATGAAAAACAGCATACTTTGCCAATAAAACATTAAAATCATCTCTTCAATGAAAGACAATCAAACACCAAAAATAACTTAATACATTACCATAGTAAATAAACCATCTATTAACAAAAACAAGAAACCAGATCATATACAGAACTCAAGACTTTGGAGAACCTCAAATGGAACAGCAATACAGCAAAATTTGTAAGAATATATCTATATGTGCATCATTTTGAATGAAATATTTACAATAATAAGGTACTGGTCATTGTGTACCTAATTATTTTTGTTCCAAAAGAATTCTACCAAACAATGTGAATTTACAAGCAGTGCACTGTCTTTCAAATAGTTCAAATTCACTTTTCTACAAACAAACCTCCAAAAGGAAAAACTGAAGGGTTCCTACAAATGTTAAAATGTAGTCAACAAAGCAATTGAAAACTGGAAGATTGCAATATTTTGGTGAAATCTTAGAATCGGAGGGGCAAGCACCAAGTGAAAAATGCACCAAATGCTAGAAAATGATGCAGGACTCAAGCTTCCAATTGCTTCTTCTGTTAGGGATGTGTGAATATGTGTTTGTGTGTGTAGACGTGTAAGGGTGAGAGAGAGAGCGAGCTCCGGTGTAGTGGGGACAATGTGGGAATCCCCATTAAATATGTAACAAAGTAAACAATACTTCAGGACAGTGAATCAGGTCTCCACGATTAAGACATCCATTACTGAGTGTCAACTCACAAATCAGAACACTACCAGTAAAAACAAAGAAAAAACAAGCTTCATTCAAAGTGAGAATATACAAGTAGGCCAAAAAGAACACGTTATAAGAGGGAAGCTGTAAAAATTCAGTGAACTCATCAAACAAAAATTTTTGAACACCACTAGCTATACGTTCCCCCCGGTTTTTTTTTAGACTAAAGAAGTTTAATTAATTAGAATGTGCACAAATTAAGTTGCTAGAGAGATAAATTAATAATTTACAGAGGGTTGTTCGGCAATAATCTAATAATAGCTTTCAAGATCAGTGAACACAGCAGGAGCAACTCCTTTCTTAAGCATTAACACTTCAGAGAAAGAAGAGGGTAAGAACCACAATAAAAATATATATATAATATACAGTGTAAATGCAGAAAAATCTGCCATCTTTTTAAAATTCAAAATACTTTAGAGATGTCTCTATCCCATTAAGCATCAACTCTAGTTTAAAGTTTTCAGTTCTGAATCAATTTCTATTTCTGAAAAATAGCTGCAAAGTGTACTTTTAAACTTGAACAAGGGTGATGTCTGTAAGAATAAAAACAAATCTTACTTGCTCATTTTTGCGGACTTTTAAAAGGCTGTCTCTTCTGCCTTCCTGCAAACAGCCAGCTCCACACTACCTCTGAAGAAGCCGAGGTGGGGTTAAAAGGGACAACTTTTCTACAACTTGACAAATCCCATCTTTTGTTTTTCTTTTCTTTCAGAAACCCTTTCACATTCTCTCTGGCTTGGGCTCAGTTGCTCGCTCCTTCGTTCCCTCTTCAATCCTCGCTTTCTCTGGATTCACATTTACTGGAATTGTTTCTGGTCGCCAAAAGTGGAAAGAAAAGAGGCAGGAGAGAAAGAGGGAGAAAAGGGGGGGACAAGGAGTGGGCTGTCCCTGGAATGGCCAAGGGTCTCCTATATGCCGGCGGAATATTTCATTCTTTTCTGTTTCTGCCTCTGGTTGCAGAACCAGACGCGCACCACGTTTTTCTTAAGATCCAGCTTCTCCGCTATGGCGGCGATCTTCTCCGAGGAGGGTCGCGGCTGGATGGCAAAGTAGGCTTCAAGCGAGCGCTTCTCAGGCGCAGCTATGGACGTGCGCTTGCGCTTCTTCTCAGCGCCATTGAAGAGCTCCGGCTTGGTGAGCTTCTCACGGTGGGACTTCTCCGCCTCCTCCAGCCAAGCCTGCAGGATGGGTTTGAGCGCGATCATGTTGTTATGTGACAGCGTGAGAGACTCGAACCTGCAGATGGTGCTCTGGCTAAGCGAGCCTACGCCGGGGATTTTGAGGTTGGCTAGCGCGGAACCGACATCTGCTTGGGTCACCCCCAGCTTGATACGTCGCTGCTTGAAGCGCTCGGCGAAAGCCTCCAGGTCCCGCGGGTCGGCGTCCACGTCGCTCATGCAGCCCATGTGCGAAGGCAGACCGTGCGCATGGGCCATGCTGAGCGCTGCTTGGTGCATGGGGTTCATGGTGGCCATGTGCGGAGCATGAGCCGGCGTGGACACCACCGCGCCGTCGGGGCCAGCCATGGCACCCAGGGCCAGCCCGGGACTCAGGTGCTCCAGCAGCTCTCCTTCGAGCGCCTGGTGCGGCTGGTGGTGGTGGTGATGGTGGTGATGGTGGTGGTGGTGGGTGCCGGCCAGTGCAGACGGGTGCGAGATGGGTACAGATGAAGAGGAGGCAGCCGACGTGCACGGGATGGTGTTCATGGTGTGGTAAGTGGCGTCCGGCTTGAAGGGGCTGTGGTGGGGCGGGTGGTGGTGGTGACTCTTGGTCTGGGAGACGATGTCCACGGCGGCCAGAGCCTCGGCACGGGCCAGCAGACTCTCATCCAGCCCGCCGAATATATTGCTCTGCAATTGCAAGTAGAAGGCACACATTACGCTCAGTAGGGAATTATGCACACTCTCTCCGGAAGCCCCGGCCCAGTGCTCCACACTGCCACCGCGCCTACAACATTCCCAGAACGTTAAAATAGTAATAATGATAATAATCCTGAAAATAGGAGTTGAGCATAAGAGGCAAGCCACCGAGAGAAGCCCAGAGTGCAGGAGGAGGAGGAGGAGGAAAGTGAGCCTGCAGACACAACACAACACAACACGCGCACAGGCAACATCCCAGGTCATAAAAATTAATATGAAAGACAAGACCCGCTGAATACTTAAGAGGGAGAGGGGGGAAATTGGTTGGAGGTGTGGGGTGATTTGCTGTGCAGACATGAAAAAAACATCAAGCAGATAAAGGGGGCTGTCAAAATGTGCCTTTAAGCGGTGATTATGCAGAAATACGCACCGGTGGGGTTGGAAGACAAGCTCTCCGCATCGCCTCCGAGCCCCCGCCGCCGCCTCCTCCGCCGCTGCTGCCACTGCTACTGGAGCTGCTGCTCCGGCCTCCGCCGCCGCCTCCGCCGCCACCACCGCCGCCAGCATTGCTGGAGCTGCTGGGGGAGCTGGCTGAGGGCGCCGCGGGCGCGGAGGAGCCGGGCGAGGCGCTGTGCAGTGCCGAGTACTTGGGCTCCACGTGCAGGCTGCCGCCGTGCGGCATGCTGAACGCCTGCTTGCTGTTTAGGGACATCATCATCATCTTCCCGCCCGCCGGGGCGCTGGTCGGTATAGCACTCTTTGGCCCCAGCTGCCGGGACCTTCCAGAAAAGTGTTCGGTTGGAGCGAGAGCCGGGAAGGGCAGTGCAAAGTTGTGCTCAGCCACCGCCGCCTCCCGGCTCCGAACGCCCAGTCACCGCTACGGGCTCGGCTCCTCCGCTGCCTCCACCGCCAGCCGGAGCGAATGCTAGGCTCGGGGTGGCGCTGGTTACAGACCTCAACGTCCAAAACTGCCCGGACTCCTCGAGGCCGCGGAGTTATACTCCCCTCTCCCCGCGCCTGCCCCCGCGCCCCCTCCCTCCCTCCCTCCCCGGCGCCTCCTCCCTCTCCTACCAGGAAGCGCCTGCTCCTGCTTGGTTTCTAGCGTCGCCCCTTCTCCCTCTTTACTCCCCCCAGGTTCAGCTCCTTTCTGTTCTCCCAGCACCCGCCTCCCGCTCCCCTACCGCGCCCTCCGCCTTCCCTGCCCCCGCACGGGCTCTGATGTCGCCGCCCCTCCGCGGCGCCGGGCGGTTCCTACTTACGTTCGCGCCCTTGCTGATCCCCACCCAACCCGCCAGGTCCGGTGCTTCAGTCACCAGGCTGTGCCTACCTACGGGCCGGCACCCAGCCCCTCCCGCTTCTTCTACCGACTCTGAACCACTCTAGGCAGAGAAACTCCCAAATAAAGTTGCGGCCCAAACCAGCCTGGGGTGGGTTCTTCCCTGAACTACTCCGAGCGCCTCCTACCTGACTGCCTCTCCCCTGCCTCCAGCTTACCATTAAGTTCCAGGCCTTCGCCCCCACTCGGCTCGCCCCTCTTGGGAGCCAAGTGACCCTGATTCCCCACTCCCTGCCACTGCTGAGGACTTTAACGCAGCGGCCAAGCCGGGTCCTCCGTGCTGCTCTGCGCTCCCGCCTTGATGTGTGCGGAGGTCGGCGCTCGGCTTCGCGCCCCCTTGGCCCGCGGGTGCCTGGTGCGGAAAAGACATGGGTCGGAGGGGCTGCAGGGCTTTCTCTCACTCGATTTCTCGCAGCTCTCAGCGGATTGGACAGCTGCAGAGCCTGCTTGGGTCGTCTGTGCGCATGCGACTCCCCCCACCCCGCAT